TTTATTCGCTTCCACTGATGCACGACGTTTGGGTACTGACTACCGACAAAATACTGGAAGAGAATAATTTTTATTCTGGTCCTGAGTTAATTAGTTTCTGTCACCAAAGACTCAATAGCACGCCTATTTCAGATGTAGGCTGACAACGGCACGGTGTCACCAGAGGAAAAACTGGTCAATGAACTGTCTCATAGGAACAAAGCCGGTAGAACATGCACCATCAGAACCACCATATAATCGTTTTTGTGGTTGTCTGGGGGTTGAAAACCAACTGACCGCATTTGTATGTTGTATAAACGACTGACAACCGTCAAACAACAGTCTGCCGGTTATTGAACGGTTAAATTACCGTCATTCAGACACCTTTCGACGTTAATGGTGAAATGTCGTCGCAATCGCCACGGTTGCCTGCGGCGTCTATCAGGTACGGTTTAAAAATTCGCCCAACAGGAAAGGTGAGACTTTGTACCATTAGCTTCAGAGGGGATGTATGCGACTGATAAGGTAAGGCCTGAAAGTTGGAGCTATCTGATGCTGAAACCGAGCTACTTTTGCAACAGAAGCGCGAAAGAGGTATAGTTTCTCAGGTGGCTAGCATCTCCATGTGTAATAATAATAAATAATCGTTCAGCTGTAGAGCCCTTTCGGTGCCTAGCTGCCATGCCACCCGAAGGAAGCAAGAGGGCTGGGATACTGTCAGGTTGCCCAAGCCTAGACAGGGGAAGTCGAGTGGCGGAGGTCGGGTTCGAACCACGAACCTTCCCGTCAGTAAATTCGCGCTCTAACCACTTGAGCCATCTCCATGTGTACGGAATGCTGTCTTGCTCCCAGGAGTAAGCAGTTAAAATGTCGAACCTAAAGACATTCTGCGGTTTACCATAAGCGATGGCTGAATGTTCAACTAAGCCGAATGACAAATACTTCTTGACACGAGCTCAATACATCCAAGCGCATCCGTCCTTCTCACGAGCATCTGGAGTCAAGTAGCAATGCTTTCTCCCTCGGCCAAGGGAGCCAAGGGTCTGGAGCCACTGGCTCCAGACAGCTTCCAGACCCCAACACCTGCAGCCATACGCGTTCAACCGTTGACTCAAAGGCTCGGGTTGGGGCCAGTTTAAAGTCCATGGCATTATTCTACGCAAGTTTAATTTCCGACGTGGCCAAAATCGCGAGAGGCTAACCAGGCTGTATCGGTCATATCGCCGCCTTGTTCGAATACCGTCATTTCATCCAAAGCCTAGACAGGGGAAGTCGAGTGGCGGAGGTCGGGTTCGAACCACGAACCTTCCCGTCAGTAAATTCGCGCTCTAACCACTTGAGCCATCTCCATGTGTACGGAATGCTGTCTTGCTCCCAGGAGTAAGCAGTTAAAATGTCGAACCTAAAGACATTCTGCGGTTTACCATAAGCGATGGCTGAATGTTCAACTAAGCCGAATGACAAATACTTCTTGACACGAGCTCAATACATCCAAGCGCATCCGTCCTTCTCACGAGCATCTGGAGTCAAGTAGCAATGCTTTCTCCCTCTGGGGTGGACGTAACATTGGTACATCGGTGAAAGAAATGGTTTATAACGCAGTAGTGCACCAAGTGTTGCTTTACGGTTGTGAAGTCTGGTCTTCGTGCATTCACCGTCAGTACCTTTCAGGCACTATTCATAGAAACACCGGATGAAGAAAGGTGAAGTGCGACGAATGCTGTTTGACGTACCAGCTGAACCAAGTACGCTCACTCGGTCTTGTGCTGCGTAGGCCAGTTGGTCGATTACTTCGTCGTGCCTAGTTTTCTGAGGAAGGTTCCAACCAGAAGACACCACGATGTGGAGTGTATGATCTGGAGACGGAGTATCGAAAACACAGCAGGAGACCTTGGCACATTGGTGCATGCCATCTGTAAGGTCAGTTATCAATGATCCACCACATCAATGTTTGGAGATGGCGACAGCAATGTCACAATCAATGGTGATGTATCTAGCCTCTTGTTCTTATTCATTAATGGTCTTTCATTCATTGTCCTCCATTTTTATCCTTAGGAATATTTATCTGTACCTCCTCCAAACCACGCTGTCCGATTATAAGCTATGACCATCCAAACGACCGTACATATATGGTAGGCTAGCACAAAGTCTCCCCCATCCCTTTTTAATTTCCTCACAATAAGGCTTTTAGGTAAATTATGGTTGTACGGCAACGAAGTGCCAATGTTTAAACGCTAATGTTGTGCTGTCAATGATGTACCTATGTGTATGGTTCATGGTTGTCAAGCCAAAGTGAACTGAGCTCTAAGGGGGATATATCTCATTTCTCGTGCTACGTAACAGGCATCCTTTGCTGAATTTTAGCCTTCCTGTTCCGTCGAAATATGCTGTTTCCGGAACACACCTGACCCAACTGCGGCCTTGCCAAAATCGCTTAGGACGAGCATGGGTATTCTGGACTCGCTTTAGTAAGATGTCTGGCCCTGCGGACCTTTACCTATATGGTCTTCTTTTGTGCTAACGTTCAATAGCCTGACCCAAATTTGCCGTATACTGAAAAATGTGTCATTTGGAGGTAATGAGCATCACTGACCGTTCTGAGATCTGGTGATTTCTCTGTACGCGACACTCAGTTTTGGGCATTATGCATAGTTGTAATCATTTCTCCCCCATTACAATCACTGTGCCATCCTGAGGTTCTTTGTAAATTGTGGCACGGCGAAATTTGGTTTATTCATTTGATTTGCAGTTCACAAAACGGTTCCCTGGCTTAATGCAGAAAAATCACACACAGTCACCCTAAAGTTGTCAGAGGCGAATCGGGAATGATGCCCGGTTGTCGTGTGAATTGTTTATCTATGCATTTACGAAATGTTCCTTTCATTCCAGGATTTAACTACCTCGTCTCAGCTATGATTATCCACATGAAGAGCCCATCGTGCGTCCATCCCACTTCGTATCCATATATGTATCATTTAGAACAAACGCGGAGGAGTGGTTACTTATCGAGTTGCAAGGTGAGGTTATCTCCAGACACGCAGAGTCGTTGGCGGGCAAACTTGTTGGAGAGCTCCACTTTTCCAGTCAGGTAAGTCGCGCTTGTTTGGATGAGCAATACCGACCTTTTCAGGGGGAACCAATCTTCATAATCGGACACCATGTTCTGTTTGGGAAGTTGCTAACGATGGAAAAACCATTTGTGGTGACTAAAAAGCAACAGATGGGTGATTCAGTGGAACACCATGTTGTTGCAATCATTCACAGGAAATTATTGTTTAAGACCCGTCCAAAGGCAACTATCGTCTCTTTAGGCAAAAAACAGTGATTCTCGAGATTTTTTAATGTACTGTTTTGCATATAAAGATTATTTTTCTAAAGTTTCGAAATCGCTATTTGGAAACAGCGACTTTTTTTAGACAATATCAATTCTCAGATATTTGTTTTCCCATTGACGGGTTTTCACCTACAGTATAAGTCGAGTATCGTGTCAACAAACTGTAGAATATAAAACAGCGCAAGTGTTACCTGAGAGCTACGAGGATAATAAACTAACGCAATAATACCACCCCTGTCGTAAATTTACGGAAACAGCAGCCACTAACTGGTGCATCCCCTGTGCGTTAAGGCCTGTCGGTTCTCCAAAAGTACTTAGTGACCACCCTTGACAGCACTCTGCAATTAAATGAAACACCTACTAGGACTAAAGATAGATGCCTTTTGAATGACGTTTTAAGCTGGCAACTTTAAGCCCACTTTATGAATCATTAATCAGAGCAAATCTGCCAACGGCTGAACATTTTCGCTTGTCAAAAAATAGCTTATTCACATAGATGTCGGATGGTACTTAGATATGCTGCTACTCGACTTTCAGATATCACCGTGAAAGTGGAATCACTTATAGCTAATCGGTTTCTCGCCATCACCGTTGAACAATGGCGAAATATGATAGCGAAATTTCGCCGTTAGAGAGATGCACAACTGGGAAACTGCGGTCGAGCACCAGCTCTCCGGCTGCGACTATGAACTAGGGAGCAGCTATTTATATCAGTATTAGTGGTGATGCATTTTGTGGCATCTTATCGGTGGCTATGGACCCGTTGAAAGGTGAGTGGATATCACTCATCGATAACAAGTGGAGCCTGCCCTTAGGCGGACATAAATGCAGTTTTTTAAAATTTGACTGATAGGAAACTAGCTTTTGGTCTTTGTACGTCCAGATGTTACCAGGAAAATTGACATCACTTATTCTACCTAATTTCTGTAATGAAGTACCAGGTTTCGGGGAAGTGTTGAGCAAGCCTTAATGATATATTCACTTACTCCACAGGCAACTGAGAAAATTCATACATGGAGAAGTGAAAAGACTACATTGAAAGAAGTTCGGACCCACGATACAGGTGGGATCGCACGTGAATGGACAGCCATCAACCCAAAAATTTTGCCCTTCCTCGTTTATGGTTAAGCAGTCTGGCCACTCTGACTGTTTATCATGTCTCAGAAAGAAAGCAGCCAAATCCTCAACTGTCGGAGCTCGTACATGTCGACTCCATTCCATCAAGGTGGCCGTAAATAGTGCATTTCTCAGCGCTTGCCGATGATCCACTTGTATGTTTCCACGGCCGATTGTTCCCTTGTGACAAATATATTCTCGAGATGACGTGAACCACGGCGTTGTATTTAACTACCACCTTTTTAATCTCACGTGCGAATATAAGTGAAGGTGGTCTTCACAAACGTCCATACATGACTACCAGATACCAACCCAGGTTCCAGGTCGCTCACCAAACCCACCCCCGCCGGGACATCTTTTTAGCCCTACATAATTTATATGAACAGCCATGTCACTAAACCAATACGCGCTGGGTTGAAATAAGTCCGCAACCCGCATCACCCTTTGTAGATGGGACCTGCTCACGTACCTTAATGTAGAAACAAGTCGGCCTGGCGAGGGTGCCAACGTTGACCCTAATTGGCAATTTTTCTTTTCCCAGTTCAACTAGTACACTCAAGCGAGAACGGGGGTTGGTAAAAATAATTCTGAGCAGGTATCGTGAATTTCGGTCATGACTAAGGATAACAAGTAAGAAAAATCAAAGACAAAAACCAGTTTTCAAGGGCAAGGAAATTAAGGCTAACATACGAGGGAGAGATCCAGGTAAGTGGGTGCAACATGGATATGAAGGTAGCTGGGGGGTTCAAACAACTTACAAGTACAAAAAGTTCCTGATCGTTGTCGTTAAATGAGCAAATTAAATTCGGGAGTAAAAGAGATAATCGTCAATAATGAGCTGGTACAGTTTGAAGGGCTTCGAAAGACCGACGATTTGGTTCGATGTTCTGCGAGAGGACATTAGAGTGAAGAGACAAAAGGCAAATTAAAGCGAGCTGCAGGTTTTTAAAATTGAAATTTCAACAAGCCATGGCAAACTCGTAGGTGGAGGAGATAAACTGGTCCGCTTTACGGCGCTTTACGTTGTCAGTGAAACGAAATTTTCCTGGCATCCTTCAAAGATTACCATCAATCTTATTTGACTCCCGCGTTACTAGACTGACTCCACAGAGCTCGTTTCGTTTTTCGTGGAAAACCACAAGGGCGTTTTACGCCAAAGACTAGGAGTAATAAGAAAACCTAAGTTTACGGGCTAGTGATTATGATGTTTGTTTTCAAATCTGTTCTGTGATCCGTAAATCAGAGACTGTCTTGAAAACAAGATCGTTTTACTATTGTAGGAAATCAAACACTGCCGTTGCCAGCTCCATGGCATCAGTAGGGCATTGCTCAGCTGTTCCGTCTTGATTCGTTAAGTTATATCGTACTGCAAATCGAGGCGCGCCATCTTTTACTGGATGATGCAATGCTTCACTAAAATGGACCTTTTATGATGAAGATAAAAATTGCAATCGTCTGCAACACAAGGACGACAGCTCTCGAAAGCACGGAGTTGTATCTGGCTGCTCTTGTCGATGAAGAGGTTATACAGACACTGTTGTTTGTTTGGTGAGGTCTCCATCAAGGGTTAAAGAATCTATTCGGGCGCCGGTTTCCCTGTCTGCGGAACCATGCATTACGGTCAAGGAATTTCGTAGCCGGTGTGTTGAATTCATGTCGCAGTGTGTGAAGCTTGACGTAATTAAACACTTTCAAACCACAATTTTGTGGATACACTGTGTGCTTGAAATCGACCAGTGCAAGATTAACCCGTGAGGAACTGAAGCCGGGTCGTCGTTTAAACGTAGTGCTCAGATATACTACCAACCTGCAATGCCCGTATCCCACTCGGTGGACTACGCATTCAGGAATATTAAGACTCAGGTCGCGCTTATTGGATCGTAGCGTTCTGTCACTCAGGGATACGGGGACATGAAAAGGCAAGGGATAGTTCGCAGAAGTAACCCCGTACCCTTTAATTTCGGTAACCGAGTCCATCAACACTGCAACGACGGGGGAGAGGGAACAATCAACAAAAATTACTTTAGACAATGAGTAACACTTAGGAATACGTTAGGTATCGCATTAGCGTCCCATTTTTGATGTTTAAGAGCTTAAAAACACGGTTCTAGCACACGGATGTGTTAGAACTTTCGATTTTGTAGGTATGGGCCTCGGCAGATTCGATTAGTCAAATAGGAGTGGTTTCCGCTGGATGACGCCGCATCAAAAACAGCTAACACTTCGTTTACATGACAGAAATTTATTGACAATGTTCTGGTCGGACAATTTTGTGCTTGTAAATGCCCAGTAGGGTCAACAAAACTGAAACAAACAGTTGTGTCCAACAAACAATATAGATGCCCTGCTGCTCAAAGCAAGTTGGTGGTCAGTTGGGAGTGAGACACCTAAAGTGCATTATTGTGCATAATTTTAAATCACATCTAAGGCTATCGACACATCAGTTCAGTGGTTTAAAGTGTCGGTTTATGAAACGTCTGGCTATAATGTAGGTAATAAAGTCCGTGCTTCACGACCCACCAGATCACTCTGAAGAGGCAAATTAAGGCTTAAAAACAGGCTCCAGTACTCACTGCTGGTTTTGGACGATGAGTGTCCACCGCGGGCACCTGGAGATGGATGCGTTCCACAATACACCGATATGCGATCGGAGTCAGCTTGAACACAGTGTGTAAAGGGACGCGAATGTACGGCAACTCCTCTGGAATGGAACAATGGATGGGTAAGATGCAATGCGGACGCTTTACCACCACTCATTAAAATTAGCACACTCCACGGAGTCAAAGCTATAGTGTAGCTAGTAATGGGTTTTCGGATGGCGGAGCAAAACACTACAAACTGACAGGTGAAGCAGGATACAAGCTTCATTATTGCATCACCAAAAGTGGGTAAGTAGTGAGTCCTTTCGCTCACACTTCAGAAAGCAAACTCTCAATCAGAATCTTTACACCTCAAATCCCCCCGGTATGCCTGCTTGTGCTCAAAAGACACGTCAGCATGTCAGGCCCGGTGCTCTTAGGTATTAGTTAAACTGTATGATGGAAAATAATTAAGAGAGCGCGTATAATTTTGTCGTCTGGTGTTTGATATTCATATAGAAAGGGATAGGTCATTCAAGTAGATGGAGACTCTAAAGGCAGCAACATAAAGTGTCACACGAATTTCACTGACTCAACCTTAGGCACAGAAAATGTGATATTGGCGACTGGGTTATGTAGACGGTACCAAACGTCACTAAATCAAACACTTATTCGAACATTAGAAGTGCTTAGTTACGAGTAATGAGTCGAGCGCATATGAATCCGAAACGAATATGCACTGGGGAAATTTCACAACAAACCTTGAGGCCGGTCCTCGAAGTAGGCGAGCAAGCAACGGGCGACAGCCTGATGACAGATGACAAGCACGGAGCTCTGCCGCTCAAGCTCCATCATTACCGGTTCCAGACGACCGACCAAGTCGTGGTAAGACTGGAAAGGGCGACAGAGAAAGAGGAAACGAAGTTAGGATATTTGGCGACGAGGTACATATTACTGGGGAAGAGAAGGGCGCAAGCAGTTGAGCAGTTGAGAATATTCCGCACTGCGATTAATTTGCTAGCAACATACATGCTCGGCAGCTGTCCATCTAGTTTCAATGGACACGTTTACCTCAAATAAGTGGCTGATGTTCTGCTGATTCATTTCATTGATGCTTGGTTGCTTACGATTCTTCACACGTCTAGAACGCCCATCGAAAAGAAATGGTCCGACCTCAAAAAACTCTACCACCAAGGTATTTATTCCTAGTTGGCACATATCACGGGGACGGGATGGGAATGATCACGTGAATCTGGTCAGTAAATGCGAGGGTATCCAGGGCAGGCATCCGCCGACCGGTTGGAATTTGGGATGGGCGCAATGCTTGATCTAGCCGGCTGTCGACAGCCCGACCATCCACCGCGAAGGATTACCTGATAGTTATCAGGGTGTTATTTTGGGGTTTCAACCTACCGCTCATGATGAGGATGCGATCCTAGCGAAATACACTCATTTGCAAACAAATTTGGTTTTGCGAGTGGCCCACCTGGAACCCGCCTGAATCTCGTTTGTGATGTTTCCAGGGCGAAACCGATTATGGGCTGTCAGAGAATTTTCAGCAACCTTATGAGTAGTGCATTACGTATATACAAGTATGCTATCTTATTCCACTCTACGCCAACTATTTCAGGACTTTTTCATCGCATGCGCAATGCAAGAAAAAGGGCTAACATTGGGTTGCAATAGATTGATTCTGACACTATTGGGGATTTCAAATAACTGCACTTCCCGGTGTTGGAATTTATTCTTTCCAAGTGCACAACAGACCACACCACATTCCACTTTGATTAAGCCGAGTTTGCTACTTAAACTTCGAAAGCTCACGACCAATTCCCCTCTTTCTGGGCACAGTCCCTAAGTTTCCGTCAACCTTATGTTCTGCTTGAACACGAGATGACACGCAAGCGGCTTAATACGTTCATGTGCAAATTAAGCTACTGTTAATGGCAGACTCAGTACGGAGCGTATTGGTTGCTTACCTGTGGTTTGCAAGCCCCGCCTCTTCAGTGAATATCCATCAACCGTATTTGCAAACTCACATGGTACACTAGTTCCAGGACTGTATAACTGTACTGCTTCATTAACCACCACCAATGTAACTTATTTGGATAGTTCTTTTAGCCCACCACATAAAAGGCTAGTTGTTACCTGGCTTCCTCGGGTCTAACTAATATTGTGAATTTTCCCATATAACTAAGATCCCAAAAGGGCTGTCACTACAAACAATGCGAATATCTTCATTGTTTATAAATGCCGTCCACCTGCCCCATCTGATTACCGTATTTTGGGTCCGATCCTAATAGTATAATCCAAGAAGAACCATCAGACTGTTGTACAGATACCTTCGTACAGGTTGAAAAGAAATTCTTTTTCACTAGATAGAAAGCTGCTGACCTTGATCCTACAGCAAATTTCCGGCGCGTAACTGGTTATCTCAACTTTTGCTTTGACTTATTTTGTTCCGTTGAGACCATCCACATCAGCACTGATAGATTCTGTTCGCCACTATTTAAGCATCTCATGTAGATCTCAGATAGCTTACGCGATAGATCAAACAGATACAATGTCTCTAAAAGAACTGTGATAATCCGACTCTCAATAATGGAAGCTGTGAAATGTGGCGGACCCAGCTGTGTAGCGAATTCGGTCTCGACAAAACTTGACCGGAAGTTCGTAGGCCTGTCGAACTCGTACATTGCATTCAAATTCACCAACGAGTGTACTGTTACAGTAAGCGCAGCATCAGAGGACTATAAGAAGTTGCGGCACTTGAAATCAGACGAAGCATGTAGTCGCAATAATCTATTCTAAAAGCTTCTGACTTCGTGAGGCACTAGGACAACACCGGCACAGGAGAAAGGAGCAACAAAGTTTAGGCCAGTAGTGTGTGCCTCCAAACTGTTTGGACAAACGAAAGTGCAAGATACCCTGTTAGACCACAGTCCACACTGATTTGTGTACCGTTGTAACGGTGATACTACTGATCAAGAGGCACGCGAGTAGCATGTGTTGTTCGTAGAATTTCGCTTTGCGTCGATTGAAAAATGGAATTCTGTTGCGGAATTCGCGGGGCCACTTTGTAACATTGGCTTTTATTTGACCGACGAATGATTGGAGGCAATGAATCTCCAGGAAGACTCGTTCGGGAGAAGATCTGTGTCCAGTTTTTGTAACTAAGATGCAGATTAGAGTTTTGCTTCCTTGTTCAGTGGTCTGTAACCGGTCAGTTGGCATTTCCGAATAGATAACTCCGCAGCGAAGGCCTTCTTCCTTTCACCGTTAGTATCCCTCCACAGGAGATGCCTTTGTTACGCAGTTCAGATCAGAACTGGATAAGGAGAATAATCTTACACGCCTGTTGCTAATTGACTCTACTGAAGATTTCTACAGAGGACCATTACTGCAGTTTTTTTTAGTAAAGACTGAGGGAGGAGCTTGGTTAAGCTGACTGAAGACTACTTTGGAAATTATACGGAGCACTCCTGAATTGACAACTGTTACGTATGGGATATGCTCATTTCTGTTTTTTTATCCGTTAATCGGCGGTCTTTAGAGCAAATCTACAACTAGAAGCTGTAATGGATGAGCGCTCTCATTCCCAATGTCCCGAAAAGCCAAGACGCCACTCCCATATCTGGTCACCGTTGCAAGGACCTACCCAGTAGCCATCAAGCCCTCAGTGTTTCCAGGACGTTCGTTGTGAAGTACCTGAGTGCGACTCCATCGAGTAAGCTTTGTTGATCCCTCCATATCCAAGCGGCTTTTAAGTACTTTCTACGCTTTTGCGCTTTAGATACCCCGCCTTCCCATTTATAATTTTGCTACTGCATGTATTCTCCTCCGGGGATCGTTCCCCTTAGTCTTCTTCGGACCCACTGAGAATTATTGCCTTAGCGCCAGGTCACCAAAATACCTATTTAAGTGCCGTGAGATCTCAAGGAATGTCTTCGTCTTAGTAGTCAAGCACTTTGATGGACGTTTTTCATTTTCTTCACCAATCATCCACAAGCTTTTGCCGTCAATGACTCTAACAGACTGTAACTGTGATCTCTTATTCGATCCAATTTGTACTTCATCCAACTGTCCACGTAACAATCAGTATATCGTGTACCTATGTACAGTGTTAGATTACAGGTGATCTTAACACCCATATGTGACGCTGTTGTGTGTGTCTTCAGCTGATAAAGCTTTGCTTGATATGAGCCGACGTGCATTGTCAGAAGTAATGAGCGTTGGTGAAACGAAATGTATCGGAACTGAATAGTCACACGCTAGAACCGATGCCGATATTTCGCAGTTGACCGTCGCCCTGTCACTCAAACCGCGCAGTCATTCTTTCCGACCATGTCTTAATTACGAAGTTAAACATCACAGGTTACCTCAGCTTACTGGAAATTCAATTTCCCATGCTTATTCGGCGCCGGGACAAAAAGCACTTCATGTTGCTCTATATTAAACCTTGTCCAAACGGAGACTTAATGACCACGTGATATCGGATGAAAACTAATCGATTTACTCATAAAGGTTTAGTAGGCACGTGTGTTTACGATCGTAACAAAACGTTCAAAACGGAAAAGATAAGGACACACAGGTGTAGGATCACACATCACGTGTCTCGAACCCAGGTTAAGGATGATCAATAAATTGTCTGCTAAACAAGTCTTAAAAAGGAATCGGTGTTTTAAGGTCATCATGGTATATGTGGAAACCTGCAATGACGATAATGTTGCATCTTTCAGGGCGCCGATCCAGGGTATATTGACAAACCTGATTTACATAATCCCGGGACGCAGCCATTCTAGCTTCTACCACAGGGAAAACGTGGGTCCGGATGAAATACGTCTACTATCGGTACAATACAGAGCAGACATTCGATACGGTGGCGTCAGCTGTTAGGAGCCTATAGGATAAATACTGATGAAAGAAAATTTTCACTACCGAAGGCGGAAACCATCATTCTAAAATGTAAATTACTGAATAGCGATTTCACGGCGGGGTGGGATCAACTGTTCTGGAAGAATAACGATGGATTCATGACGCTGCATCCGGTTAGGTTCTAGCATCATACATTCATCTATAAGCGCAACTGTTACACGCTTTGAAGGCGCTGTTTACAACCTAACAGTTACGAGGAATTCAGTGCATATAATGCACGATGATCACCATAAACATATCTAGTCTAAATGATATATCATTCTCCAATTAAGGCTGAAAAGTGCGGTAGTGTAAAGCGACTAAGTGGACGTTCGTGATGGAAACTGACAGGGAGAATGTAGTTGACGTTCGTTGCAGCGTCTACTTAAGTGGATCTTACCGTGGGAGATTGGTTAGACCGAAAGCGCTCAATTTCAGAAGCAAAACTCTCCCCAGTGAGCAGGGTTTACGGATGTACTGTTACAGTGGTTGTGAAGTAAAAAAGATAACTAACTTCTCCCATGGGGTATCGAAAATGGTATTTGTCTGCATCTCGCATGGCGAAATCATAGGGGTATTTTTCTTGAATTTCCGCATATGTCATTCCGTCGCAGACTCCCTAAAGAAGATTAAAAAGCTGAAATTCAGTATAGAAATTTAAAAGAAACATTTTGGGTAACTTCTGAGATATTAATGAAGGTGGATGCACCTAAAACCATCTACACTGTATACATACAGCTTTGCCTGCTCCTTGCGTTTACAAACAAACAGGGAGATGCATGACGGGTTTTTTGAACATAAAGCATTTCTCATGTTTCTGCATGGAACACGGACGACCGCTGGCTCACCCTCCTTTCGCTGAACCGTCGAAGATGCGTATTTGCCATGGTCAACGACCCGGGATTGTTTCGACGTCGAATAGAATAAAATATGCCAAGTGTCCTGCACGTGGGACAAAATTAAAACACCTTATTGAATGCATAAGAGATTTGTATTGTCTCGATCCGTGACGGCGTATCTGAACAGGAGGAAACGAAAGCACGATTTTCAATTCTTATTATCGTGTTTCGAGATTTGGAGCGTGGTTTGAATTTGAATAGCGCATACCAACCGCTTGATGTCCAAGAGATGATGCCGACATTTGAACCTAGTATTTCTGACTTTCCTTTACAGCAAGTGAACTAGGTGTCGAAGTCTTCAGCAACCTTGTGAGTAGTTTCTTTTATGAACTAGATGTGCTTTTGAAAAAGTAACACTTTGGGCTAAAAATTAACTGTTCGCATGATTAACCTGAAAAATGCGTCATCTATGGAAAACGACATGACAGAAAACGAGAAAACCGAATAAGAGTATAAAAGGGACAGGAATCGCTTTTCCGCTTGATAAGAACAAACCGAATCTGCGGACGCGAAACAGAATTCCGATAAACTGACACAGGGAAATTTTCAAACTTCTCCAGTCAAGCCGGCGATGGTCACTTTGTTTCATTTTAACTCGGAAATTAGACGGTACTATTTGATTATACGGATCATCAAAGATCCGGAGATTTCGACGCCTTCATTGACCTTCAATGAATTTTGCACCTGTAAAAGCAGAGCTCATCGCTTGGTTTAACCTTTTTTCTAGTACCTCTGTCTACGACCGTCCACAACAAGCTTCCTGTATCCTACAAAATGATTAATTCAATACGCAGTCATACTTTCGTTGTTGTGAACGCGAAGACGAATTAATATGATATCTCATCGGTATTTTTCATAACTGCCACATAATTACTAGGTAATGCGAAACCAGACAACAATGATTCCTAGACTGCGAGATTTTCTCAACGTACGAGCATCCTTGACACGATCACTGAAAACCAACACATTCAGATCATGATTGAGACTGATTTTGCGCACGACCCAATGTCAGACGCGCCAAGGTCACACATGTAGACTACAGCCTTAGCACGTTCAGATACCTACCAACGGAATTCATACGGACAAGAATGGTTGGACCTAAACAGTCAACGACAAACTCCAAGATAAACAGAAACCGTAATTCACTTGGAATCGTAGTATAACTATTTTGCGTTAAGATTTTGACCTATAGGTGAAGCCAATCTACGCTGAAAATCCGAGAAGCATTGTGTAGCTGTTCCATCTTTATTGGGCTCATCAACAGCGCTTATGTGACGAAACTGGAGGGAGTGTCGAACCCGTTACCTCCCAGCAAGCAGTCTGAACACTGAATCGTTCGGCCACCAGCGGCTCTACAGGATATGGTGCCACTTGTCCTTAAGTCACCGGATCCGCATCACATGGCTACAAGTGTTCGTTGGCTCGAGTGACGGCTCTTCAGAGGGAAGTTCCGCCCAACAGGTGAATGGTATTCTCCTGAGCTGCTCATGGATTATTGGTAGTGATGCGCACTGCTGACGATGCCTGATTCTAGGTAATGCAAAGCAGTCGAATGCAACAGATACAGTTGGATTTCAGTGAGACAAATCGGAGTGAAATACCTTTCCCATATCAACTTACGGCATCTAGTTCATCCAAAGCTTTCCAATGCTCTATTGTTGTGACAGGTATGTGTTCTGCCGTCTGAATAGTGCGATTCAAATAGCTCGTCCATACCTTCAGATCAGGTACGTTCTCTTGCTTCATGAACGCACCCAACTGGATGGCAAACTGCGAAAGAAGTGGATGAAAGTGTTAACCAACCGCAAGCGGACTCGCCATTAGTTCTTTGTGCGGAGGTTAGCAATAAATAAACACAAGAATGAACGCTATTCGACAAGACAAATGGGTTCATTTTGTTTTACAGTAACATTGGTTACGACGTTTTGTGACTGAAAACAAATCCGAAATTGCTAGTGCTCCGCCTAGAAGGTCCCTAACAAACATTCGGCGCTTGGCCGGTAGCATTCCACTTAGATGCGACTCACGGCACAAAACATCCATAATGGTCAAATTGAGCGTAATGTATACCTAATTTGACAAATGGTAAATACTTTCTGCCTAGCTACAACTCGAGGACATTTCAGTGAGTTACAGCACAGCTTGGGAGTGTTTATTCAGAAACGATAAGGCAGCACTAAAGAGCGATATTCTCCCATAAGCTGGTTTCATGAGTTCGATATTTGACTACGCGGCGACTGGAAGCGACCCAATAACAAAAAACACAATGGCTGTTAGCACTGTGTGTTGTTCACCACACAGTTACCGTTCTGACCAGGTGATACTGAGCAAAGACAGTGAACGATGACAGCCTTCGGAGTTGACATTCAAAGGGAACATTCATCCTTGTACAACAGTGCAGACAATCACCATATATTACGAAATCGGGGATAGTTGTCCATTGTAATAGAACTGCACACGGTGATCGACGGAGGTAAAAGTTAGCGGACAAGGTACCTCATTTAGATTCTGTTCGATTCGAGAAGTAATCTCATCTCCAGCCAATCCACAGAATATTACACAAATGCCCGGGTAAAGAAATTTAGCTACAGCGTCGATTGGCTCGCATGCAGGCATGAGGTTCGGGTTTGATCCAACCCATTCTTGTAGCAGCACTTTAAACTTTCCCGAAGTGGAACGCATGCGACAGAGTTATTTAGAATGACTTGCATTTTTGAAGAATCTGAACCAAGAAGAGCAACATCACCCGCATACTCAGTGTCCATGAGCTAATGTCCCGGGAGTATTTCGAATTTCAGAGGCAGTCAGAGAAATTACAAGCAGCATATCAATAACAAAATTTTAAGAGGAAGAGTGGAAAAGGGCAGCTTTGCCTTACACCACTGCCATAAGGACGACGTATTAGGTTCCTATGAACGTTCAAGGCAACAGAACTGGTCAGTTCTATGGACGGGCGTAGGTTTGGCGATACTGTTAATTTCCTTGATAACAGCAGGATACCTGCAGCTTACGTAGTGAATAGAATGCTTAGAGGCCATTTAGCAGCCATAACTGACAGGAAAGTGCTCTTAAGTGAGCCTCCCGTTTTGAGACGGATAAACAACACCAAGTACAGCAAATAACACCAAACGAGCTCAAACTGGTTGCCGATGAAAACATCTAAGAACGATGTTCTGGTGAATAGTTGCGCTCAGATATGAAGTAAACTGGTCAACAGAGTGTATGCTGGCAGAAAATTCTGTTCACTCGTATAGTAGGGTTTGAAACTGCCAATATTAAGAAAAACTACATAATCGAGTGTCATATGAAGCTGGTGTCAAACAGTCTGAGAAGAAACTGATTTCCATACAAGTTTGAGACAGGCAGGCGAGCGCTCAGGTAGCTCCACCCTTTGCCAAATATGCTCACCTTTTTCCCCGCAGGTGACAGAGAAGAATCGCCACCTATTCGTCCGGAAAGATTGAATTCCGTTTCACCGTGCTGTATGTGAAACGAGAAATACAGAAAAACGGAGGAATAAACCACGACACAGAAAAGCAGGTAAGGACGAATTCTTTCAAGAAACTAGGTTGGTGTAAGCGACCAGTGAGCAGCTTCGTTAAAAAATGCGTGTCACGATGGGAAGTTAAAGATGAACGGTCAATCCATAGCTTGTGAACGACCCACACCTGACACAAATCAGTCCTAAAATCACCTTGTAAAATGATCAGACTGGATAGGTGGATCGGTGAAAGAGTAGACTATATTCTTGGTAGAAAAAGTAGGGGAGAGTTCAGCAGGTCGGTTTCAAGTGTGACGTCATCAGAACTGTATTCAGTGCCCTAGAGAAGTCAAGATATCTAAGCTATTAATTGCATGATATAGATCGGAGCTGTTAAAAGTATTAAGTGTCCAGGTACGGCGTTACTCGAAACACCATTGGAGGAAACAACCTAACCGAAAATGTATGAGGTTCGCCTCCTGTTAGAAACCGCTGGAGCGCAACTCAAAAAACCAACCGTATACTGCAAAACCTACGATTAGTCCGTCAGTATGAAGTCATCCGAGTTCTGAACAAGGTGCTACCGATGAAATACGTTCACTTGAAAATTACATGGGTGTTAATGGGATATCCAAATGAATCCAGAGTTTGTAATGTTTGAGGGCAGGACTGATGCTTTCGAACTGGTTCTCAGCATAAAAGAAACTACTCACAAGGTTGCTGAAAACTCTTCGATAGTCCACGAGTTTCCGTCAACCTTGTGTTCTACTTCGCAGCATCTTCAACGTATGACCATCTCTGTTTGAAAGCCCTTTTATTCAAAAGTTCATCTGAACCGAAAAATCGCATTCACACACATTAGCTTTTTCCAAAGATGTAACTAGAATTCATGCAACTTTTCTTTAAATTGACGGTTTCCATTTCGAACAAAAAGACCGAAGCTTAAGGTTTGAAGGCGAACACAGCAAAATCTCCTTGTGAAGTATAAATAATCACGTCCACGAAATGGGCTACCCAAGCGCTGAACTGCAGTGGTGATATACAAGATATTCCGTGGGACTAAACTGGCCAGCGTGTAGTGAACGAAAAAAATTAGGTAATATTAGGGCCAGTAGGTGCAAAACTGGAATCTTCTTGAACGAAGTCTCGCCACTGAAGTGACATTTGGGAAGTTGTGGCCCCCATAAAATGGTGTAACAATACACTGAATGCCTCTTGTGACTTCAACGTGACGGTGTAGCGAGCATATTATGGAAGTCTATTGGTGAGTTATAACAAAGAGGATGCAAAAAAAGCTGCCAAATTAAGTTGGTGAGTTGTTCTTAACTGGTCATTTATGACTCATTAACTGAAGACGGGGGAAGGAACATCCATCATTAATTCAAACGACAACCAGTGCCACACATTAGTGTTTGAGGCACCCACGCATTGAAAACAATCACTTCTGTGTAGGACCATGTTTAAGAGCTTGATTGAACCCCACCTGGTAACGCACTAACTAACCACTAACTACCATCGACCTGGTGTCCGCATTCACAAAGGAATCAGTTGACGTGACGAGATCTGCTAGTCACGGTCTTCACATTTTAGTGCCAAGTCCATCACTATTCATCTCTGGGCCGTTTCCGCCCTGTATGTCACAAGATGAGCAGAGCTCCACTGAGAGACAGCCCACTGGTATATGAACATCGTTAACCATATAGTGGGATCAATTATGTCATGAGCGGATTCTTACCACCAAGACCTTTGGATTTATCTCAGCACTTCGGGACCCATGTTCCCGAGGGATATTGGCAGTGCTCCAGGGACAAGGAATGTCGAAAAAAAGCCTCTATCTGTACCTACCAGGAGCTTCCCTGATCCCTGAAGCAGTACAAGTCGTACAGCAAAAAGATAAAAATTATCATTGACATGACATGACACTGTAAGCAAGCGAGTGCCATAGGCGTCAATCAGCGATACCAGCTTCAAAGTTTACTATCCGAAAAAGCATTTATTTCTCCCAGTCTATCTAAAGCGTGGTTGGAAAGGTGGAGGAATTTTCCTGCCAAATCAATTAGTTTAGTCGCAAAAACAAGCCACGTGTTTGACTCCACTCAGTCACTCGGAAAGGGTTTAAACCTTAAGAACACAGAGCACTCATCAAACCAGACGGCCGCATCAGTTAGCTTGCTGGGAACGATTTGCGAAGTTAAACGTGATCCTAAGAGAGGAAGATAGATGGTTTCCAGCTTATCACCAAGTCGACGGGAAGTCATTTCGAAATACTGGATAGAAAAGCACAGTCGTACTTAAGTACCATCCACAACCATCTTCGTCTAGTTATTTTTGGTGGTTCAGACAAAAATGCGATTAATTGTGATAGGGCACCACCTATTTCACAGAAGTGGTTGGTACACCCCAATATTCATTTATTTGAATGAACGATTTGAGGACCCGAAACGGATCGCACCCATGGTGTCTGGGAATCGTATCAAAAACAATGCATGAAGCTGATCGTACCTTTTCACACTAAACGGTGTGAAGGCGAAAATAATAGAGCAATGTCAAAGGTTTGATGGAAAATTGAGGAGAATCGACGGCCCTCTATCATCAAGAATCGAAGATAGTTATGCAGTGAATTGGTGTTAGCTGCAATAAAGTTTCGCGTACTGACATCGTTTTATATAGCATATCCCCGGGTCCGCACATTTAGTCTCAAAAGTTCGTATGTATGCAGTTAGTAAACTGGGTTGGGTAGAAACACTTCAGTCTGAGGATTCTAAGTTGGGAGGGTGCGGAGTTGTCTAAAGGAAGTGGGTTGTCGTAGTGGCACTGTGTACACTGTATACCACTCGATGCCACAGATTTTGGCAATCGGGAGCGGGAGAATCCTTCAGGTCAGGAAAAATGACAATTGTTGGCTGTGGAAAGCAAGGACAGGGAAGGTGTCGTCAAAACCTCCTCGTGTAAGTTCTGGGAAGAGGACGCGTGCTGACAGCGTGAGATGTGTGAGATCGGACGCTCAACATCTGATCTATTTGTGACAACGAATTGTGATAGTGATAGGAATCATACTTTGATATGAGCACCACAAACCCCTTGGTTATTAACTGCTAACCAGCCAATTCGTGAGCCGAGAATCGCTTAATCGATAGCAGATTAGAACTGAGGAAGTAGTGTGTCATACAAAACCGCCTATGCTAGTCGGCATTAGCGATGATGACAGAGGTGGCTGCCCTGCGACGAAAGTAGCGGTCAAAGTCAAAATATTATCAAGATGCGTGTCAAGGAAACACCGAAGTAACTTGTCTCGAAAGATCACAGGACTGCTAGCTACATGACGTTTCGGAACTGCGGGACAAAACATTCATCGGGAAAACAAAGATGACAGAAACTCACACGTGCCACATAGATTGTGCGCTTTCTCACTCGGATGTTCATCAAATAATAGGCAATCCGACTGTTTATATTACCTGCATAGACAAAAGAAAAGTAATGACGTGATGCTCGCTAAGAAATCCAATAGATGCTGGAATTGCGAACGATGTGGTGTTATTGGCAGCATGGAGTTACGGTTCCTTTGAATAGCTAATGTGCCGGTAGGCGGAAATCCACTAGTCTGTTAAAAAGATTGAAACAATTTACCAAGCCTATATACTGAACCACTAGCCTCTTAATGCTTGGCAAATATCTGTGAGTTGGTTGGAAAATCGCCGCAGAGATCAACTTCAAAAGGAATAGTGAGATGTCCATCGTTTACGAGTCAGACTAAGAGTATGAGGAAAACTCCAGAGACTCCAACAGACTATCAGCCTGCGGATCAAACTCAGCAACACCAGCTGCTGTTGGCTATACACAGGTTGTTAATCGGTTCTGGCTGCCAGTTCACCGATGACCTTGGATTGAAGAGTCGCACATCAGAAATAATCGTGAACTCGGAGTGTGAGTCTGTGAGTTAGTTGAAATGGTAACCGTTATCATTGCCGGAAGGATACACTCTGTGGACCCATCATGAGGAGACTGGACCTTACAGTGGTTCGACGGCTTCTGTGCTTCCGTGACCGATTGAGTTATAAGAGAGTTGGCCGTGTGACACTTGCAGTGTCTTGTATCAGGTTGGTCACTGTATGCACGTCTGATCAACAATCTTTTGGTCATTTTAAGATATTGGAACATATATGGCGACTTGTTCTTTTGGAAAAAAATTCAGTGCACTAGCACTACTTGTAAAATAAGAGTTAGGCTCTCGGGGAAAATGCTTTAATTAAAGCTTCCAATCGCTGGGCGTCTTGACATGTCTCCCAGCCGGCGCACACCCGTGAACTCCACAGCTACAAATAATTTCACGCCACACCCACCGTCGACTGGTGCCACCACTGGGGTTAACTTACGTGCCGTTTGCTCGTTTCAAAACAGGGACCCTTATTCAATCATGGGGTCGACGCATGACGGTTAGTAAAGCATTGATTCGAAGTTCGAGAGTGAAATTTAGGGCCAGTAGGAGTTGCGGTGACCAATCGGTCAGGTTCTAGAACAACGCCATTTTACTGATATTTGGGACTTAAAGTTGTCATCTTGTGTTGGTCAGGCTGTAATGACCCTGAGGGCTACATTGGCAAGAACTCAGTTCTTCAAGGTTCAACCAACGGAGAACAGCGACAGGAGTGTAAGGGTGCTTCCTCTGACAGATAAACATGCCCATATTTAGGAAAGCAGCGATCTACCCTCCCCCATGGAAGGATTGGTTAGAAAATATAGGTTCTAAAAACCTCACACTCCGATCAATATCGCGACCGCCGGAGCATTATTCGGGAAGCTCAAAATACTTTTAAGACTAGTGACTCTGATGCTGATCAAAAGGCACCTGTTAGGCACAGCGACATTAAGAGTCAGAAGGTTACGCCTTGCTCCCTACACTCTCGGCCTTGACCAGGTCCTTGCAGCCAAGTGAGTCACTGCTTCCAGAAAGGGTCCCTCAAGAAGACACTAACAACCACTGCTTTGCGGTTCAGTCTTTTGAAACCGAGAACAGGGGAAGGATTCTCGAACACCCCCCTACACCCACCAATGCTTTCGACACAAGGGCTCAAGCTGGAGTACATCAATCAAACCTTATTCCTCGGCTCGGGCAATCTGGAAGTACCATTAGCCACTACAGCTATTCATTCACTGAATGCTCATCAAAAGTCTCACTTAATAATTTCTGCCTAAGGACGTTAATCACGGTATCTACTCCTCTGCCTAGATAGCCCGGGAATTAAGTCGCGAACTGACTGATCGAGAGGTTCGTGGTTCAAACCCAACCTCTGCACCTCGAATGCTCCTGTTTTGGCTTGAGCAACCTGGCAGTATCTGAGCCCTTGGGCATTCTTCGGGTGACATTCAAACTAGGCACCGAAAAGCTATTACAGACGAACGGTTATTGTTATTTAGTAAGATGAGTTACACTATATGCCTATTCCATCCAAAAGATCTGTTCTCGCTTTCGATGTATGTACGCTGTTTCCGAAATACGCATACAAGAACACAGGTCAGTCACATACCTCAAACGGCTTAAGAACCCAGACTTCTCGCAATTTAGTCTTCGGGTGTTTGGTAATCCTAATTTAATGGCTCGTGGTAGCTGCGACTTAGGAGCTGAGCATAATTTCAACGCTGAATTCGTTTTATTGCACTGGATCCCAGTAAATAGTCGTCTTAAGCTGTTAGTTTGGTTGATCAAGGCATCTCACACGCAGAGTTTTGTCAGCAGACATGCCAATAGCTGGAAAAGACAGCTTTCACTATTATTTGTCGGGACTGCTCCGGTCAGCGGCACATACAAGTACTGTGATACTGGCGGAAGATATGGATGCTCAGATCGGCCGGCCGATTTGGAGGTGACACTCACCGCGTAGACAACGCGGGGAAATTTCTCTTGTTAAGCACTGTACACCATTTGTCTCTGGCGAAATTAAACTTTCAGAATATGAACTCGTGTGACTTGGAGGCTCCCAACTACAAACCAGCCCTGGACTCAAATGGACCGTGTAACAGCTACCGATGGAGAGCACAGATACGAGACTTGTTCGGTCTGGAGCAGACCACTTGAGCCATGATCATGATCCACTCATTTTTTCAAAGGACCAAGCTGGTTGGCACAAAACCATCCAAGTCATCATCTACCCGAATACCTAAAAACAGTCAATTTGACGCAGCTGTGAAGCCTCCAACACTCTACGGGCTTTGGATTATGACCAGAAAAGGTGAAAGAAGCCATGCTTATAACTTCTGAAATCGTCTGCTCAAGGTCCTTCGTGATTCTCGTCACGATCAGCAGCTCCCAGTCAAACAAAGGAAACTTTACCAGAGCGTGCAGATCATCCAAACACCGCGTAATGAAGAACCCAAGGAGTCTCGTGGATCGCTGATGAATAGCAACGGGGAACAATCAAACCATATTCCAGCTTATCCGATCAACTGGCCCGAGAAGGGCAGATGTTTGCGAAACGATCTTCAATTCATTCACAGGAGCGCCGGCTCGAAAAACGGGCTGCACACGTTGAAGAATAGTTTAGCCGACCCCATTCACGTAAATCCTGGAAATACCACACGAACCCAAGTGAAACGTTGATATCAGTTCGCCGTTGATGATGGAGGTCCAGCGTGCAATGTCATCTCTTCAGCGCAACAAAACACCCGGTCCAGATGACTTGAATCCTACATTGTTCAAAAAAAGTGGCTAACCTAGAGACTGCACTCCGAATTATCTGGATTGAGAAAAGAATATCGACAAAATGTAGCGCTTCTATGGTGATTCCCATATTCAAAAAGGGGTGCAAGAACATCGTGCGAAAACCACCAGGGCATTACCTTAGTGCTTATAGATTCCGAGGTGTTCTCTTGTATTAAAGACGGATGGGCTGATATTGGGAGTCAGATTCGCGAGAATCAAGCTGGATTTCGCCCTGGCAGGGATTGTATCGATCATGTCTTAAATTTACGACAAGTACCGGGACTGCACCACTCTTTCCGATGACCAAAATGGTAGTATTTCTTAAGCTCACGTGCGATTTTTGACCCCATTAATCGTCAGGAACTGTGACAGTGTCTGACAATGAAGGCTGTATATGCCTATTTCCGTGGATGCGGACGTGCCCAGAGCAAATTCTCTCCTGAGTTCACCACATCCACTGGTGTCAGGTAAACATGTCCCCTATCGCCCTTTCTCTTTACCTTCGTAACTGATGCATTTTTGGACATTGGCTTGCCTTTGACAACTCCGGGATCGAACTACTTCCGAAGCGTTCACCCGCGTTCTCCTTGAATCAGTCCATTCAAAATGCAAACTATTTTAAACAATTCTGCTGCAGTTTGGTATGTGACTGGCGTATGTAGCATAAAGTGCTACTGCAAGGTTAGCTGGGAACAAAACCTATCCTCACAGCTGCAGATAAACCGATCGATGTGGTGGGTATCTTCATCTGCCTGGATGCCTGAAAAAGTTCACGTGGATCGGTGAAAGGCGATATTGATTCCGGAACTGGGCGATATTGGGCAAACTTCGATATTTGTGGCGCCAAAGTGACATTAACTTGACTGTCAAGGTTAGAGTGCGCAATGCATCGATCCGGCCTGTCCTACTCTTTAGATGGGAGGCGTGGCCACCGCTCTGGGTTTGATTATCGTCGGCACCGAGAGGTCTCGTGTCTGGTCGGAACAGCGAATCAGTGGTGCAGAGGCGCGCGAAATGCCTTCGGAGACAGCTTTTTCTTGATAGTTCAGCTGGTCACACTTCACAGATTACGCTGGGTAAGCTATGTACTTCGTACACCAGAGACCCGTTTGCCCCGAACAGCCCTCTTCACTCAGCTCTGTTTCGGAGGGAGATAACCTAAAAACGGTCAGTCCATGATTTGGCAAAGAAGCAGGGCAGTCCTTGTGAGCCGAACCAGTTACGTTGGTAACTACGTTCCCCCTGATGGGAAACCCAGGAGACAAACCAATATAGTCAGTGCAGGCGACGTATATGGGTGAGTTAAACAAACAATGGTGGCACGTATCAAAGTTATTGCCATATCGAACAAAACGAACTAGTTGACGTCAATGAACTGGGTGGCCCATCGCCTTTAACGCATGGCTCTCATCCTGGGTGAATGAAGCTATAGCAGCTCGAACCACCGCAGTTCGTACATGCTTTTTAGCTTAAAGACCGCACTGAACCGGTTTTTGGGCTTCCAAGGAGCATTTGATTAGGTTGACAGGGCTGTTCTCTTTAATATGCTTGGTCAACAAGGAATGTCCGAAAGTCAAGTGGCTATTATACGTTCTACGCATTCTCAGACCTGTGGGTGTATAAGATTAAACGGTGAGCTCTCCAAAATTTTCTGTTCAAAAGTGGCGTCTGACAAAGATACTCGTCCTCACCATTCCTATTCAGTTTCGCAAACAAGATTGTAAGGTGAACGCTGGAGGGTCCTCAAAACCCTGGTGTTCGAATAATTGATGACGAGAACTTTGCCAATTCGGAATATACCAACAACATCGTTCTCCTACTCGGACGGAACTGCAATGGGTTTTGCACACACGAAGTGAAACGCCACACTCCTGTAGACGCAGTCACTGAACACATCAAGGAGATGCACTCGGGATTGTGGAGAGCAAATCGTTGTACAAGTTTATAAGCCCTGACTATGGTGTGACGAAGGAGGTTACTGCGGGCTTCCCAAATAATGGGATTGTGTGGGCTAATATGAAACACTTGAGGGGGCAAAGTGACATCTCTGGACCTAAGTGGACGATCACATCAGGCTACAATACGAACTCTTTCGTTCTATGCTTGAGGTCTAGTCTTTGCAAACACTGGAAATGAGACGACTTTAGGTCGTGTAGTCTTATACCAACGATTGCGCATCGAAGCATTAAAGAAACCACTGTTCGGTTTTGACACAGGGAAGAATGGTACCAGCGTCAAAAATGTGGTGGTTTGGTCATATATTGCGAACGGCGAATCATCACTAGTCAAAAGGTGATGTATTTCATCTTCAATTTAGAGTAGCACAGGCATATAGGCGGCCAACCTCCGATCTGTCAGACGGTTGTGAAAGTGATTAACGAATAGTCTGGGTGCCGTTGGTGCAACTCGTTTTCCAGGATGGTTAACGTGATTTCCCTGCGCATGGCTAGAGACGCCGCAAGATATCGCTGCCAGTCGATGTCGGTGGCGTTCCTGTTGTCGGTTTCTATCCAGGTTGTCTGAATTAGTGACTGGAGGCGCAGGCAGCTCGGGAGCGCTGTAGTAGCAGACACGTTATCGCCTCTCTATTCATTGGCAATTTCTCTTACGAATAAGGTTTAAAACAAATTTTCACTGTACGGCAGCAGAACATTCACTTGAACACTCACTTTATGCTGCAAATAACGGTGATCATGCTATTGAATAGGACAATCCCAGAGAATGCTAAGTGCTTTATTCCATGGAAGTGACAGTTACCCAAACCACTCGTAAGCAAAAATGCATCAAACTGCCTCTGAATACCAAGAAAGCATAGTACATGCGAAACCATGATTCGTCGATTATCGTAGATTTGACTGGAAACCATTTAGGTAGGTCAGACCCATCCACTTAGTAAACACCCTTCAGACATCACCAGCGCACGAGTAGATAACACCAAGGGTCCATGGATGGTTTTGCGCAACTTTCATCTATCACGAGACCTCATGTTCAAAACCAAAGGTGGGTGTTTTTTATGCGCCAACAACATGTGCCGTCTATTGCAAGTGTACGCAATTTGCGAACCGTCAGAACCATGTGATCTAGGGTAGACCAGTTCCCTCCGTGTTGCTGTGCACGCGCCGGCGACCACCAGTTAACAAACGGCTAAAATGAATAAAGCACCGTTTATGAACACAGTCGTGCAATGTCGGTAACCACCGGGACCTCGGCGGCTTCATCGTGCGGTAACCCAAATGATCGTACGCATAAAAACACGTTCAAAGGTGACTAGCACATTACAGAATATGCTCTAACAGTTTAACAGTTGAATATACATGTTAGGTTTCTTGTCATAGTCCAGGATACGGTGACTTGGTTTATGCACATACACACACACATACACAAGATGGTTCAAATGAGGGGTAACTTTTTGAGTACCATCGAAAACCTCATTCCTACACTGTGTTTATCAGATGAGTCTACTTCATTGGGAAAGGTAATGAGTTGACTAACAGCCGACATACAAAACTATTACGGTAAGTGCATGCTGAATGCGCCCACAATCTCATTCGGAATCAGGTCCTACTTATCATATTTCCATCACGTGCACCAGTTCCAGACAGTCCGTTTCCAAGGGGATGAAGCAATTACAAATTACAGACAGAAACAATCGAAAGAAATACCGCAAGCAAACAACCGTTTCTGGTTCGAATTGTCGAGTTATATCTATATATGACTAAAAAGGGACTGTGCAGAAAGAAACAGATGCGTCTAGTTCCTGTGGCAAGTGCAATGTATAGAATGCTGCGAATACCACAGAAATTCATTAGTAGAGTGCGCACTGACAAGTTACACTAAACACTTTGGGAGACCTACCAAGGTGCATTCAAACAACATGGTTGTGCGACTGCATCATCATTCATTAGCTAGTTATTATAAAGAAAATAATACAACTGGATGGCGAAGGGACTTCGTGCTAACTTAGTACAATAGGCCCGAGTACCCACACCTCCAGGTATTTATTCAAATAACCTGGGTAGGAACTGACAGCAGGAAAAACACCGACAGCAATTAGCAGCTGATGTGCGGTGCGCCGTGAAGCCGACGAACAAGAAAACTGGCCTTGAGTAATCGTGCCGCTGTCCCACAAGAAGGGATCCAAATAGTGCTGGTCGCAATCTGCTATCAACGCTGTGGAAAAAATGATGTATAGTGTCGACGAAAATTCTATGCGATTGCTGTTCGACTCACGGGGAACCGATTCAGCAGTTCGTAGAGATGGCCGACATAGATTACTAACCTGTGCACATCAATATTGATCCAGGTAGCCGTCGCAACAGCAGGAAAGTCAAACCAGGATATGCGCACCGTAAGTTAGAGTTCCCAAATATCGTATGAGTAAACATTAGTTGGGACGAACCTGAAACTAAATGACTTTCACTTTTCTAAAGTGACCACATCGGCCTAGCCTTCAATATGCGGTCATATTTAAAGACACTTGGTAAAGGAACATACGATCGTTGAGATCATACCATAGTGTGGCGTAGGAATAGTGGCTAAACGAGACAGGAAAAGCTGAGTTCAAGGGTTCTATGACCTAACAATCAACCTTTCATTACGTGCTGCCGATATGTACTAACACTGAAGAAACTCCAATGTGCTCCAAATAAAATGGGTAGAAAATGTGTAGACAGTTGTGCTCGTACCTTCAATACGATTGACAAGATAACGTTGGCCCTGGTTGAATATCTTAATGTACGACCAATGTTTATCCAAATTGTCATCGATTGGGACGTATTGGGCCTCGTAGTGCTCCATGCGCTTCATGAAATCCCGCATAGCTTCATCCTTGTCTTTTCCAACATAATCCGGGCTGTGCACTTTGACTTCCTAGAGAAAAACATGAGAATTTCAGTGGGCAATCTCAATATCTACTTGGAAATCACATAAACAGGATAGTCATTAGTCAGGCCACGAAAAAGCTGCTTTTTAGCTTTCGACAAAACTAGCTTAGATGTAGCCGCATACCCCATGAGGGTTGCTGATACACTCCACCTTGGAAACCATGAAGATGGTAAAGATGAAGCCCACATGCGGACACACTCCTTCGTCACACACGTTGATGAAAACTCCTCTAGTCACTTGAGGACGCCCAAACAATAGGAAAAAAGCATCGTATGAACACTCAATGCGGTTATTTGCGCAACTTTCCGTTCTCCTTTGACCTGACCATGGACACCTCACATACATTCACAATAATAAACGGGAACAGGTTGCGCATACTCCACCGAAAGAAGATCAGATAACGCTGGCAAACCATCAAGCGTACTCTGGATGAGAACTCAACCGAACATGAAAAAAAATGGATTTTCGCACCATTCACAACCAGTGGTACTTCTGTAGAGAGTCTTTAACATACTCTGGTATTCAGTGCACCGGAAATTCACCTACTGGCATTTCACTACATAATGATTATCGTATTATTGGCATTATCATTATTATTATACGGGAAGCTCTCTCCTAAGTTCACTTGTCTGAAATTTCTCTGCCTGCCCCTGAAACCTCGAGAGTCGGAATGTTCCCGGGACGTTCCCTCACAGACAGTGAGTATGCAGAGGACATTGATCTCCTCGGTTCAGATCCTTCCCTAAAGCAGAAAATTTTGAATAACCTAAATAACCCTGCCACACGGTTCGACATGCGCTTCATACTTGCAAAGTGTAAAGTGCTGCATAGAAGACTGGGTAGGATCAAACCCACACCTCATGCTTGCAGGTGAGCCAACCGATGAGGTAGATAAATTTGTTTACATAGGAGGCTGTATAGGTTCCGGTGGACTGACTGGAAATGAGATTTTTCAAATCGGAAAGGCTAGGGCAGCTTTCGCCAATGTCCGACACCTATGGTGTCGACGTGACGTGAGCTTCTGTCAAGGGAAGAGTGTACTCTTTATGGATCAGAGACGTGGTCCCAGAGGACATACGGAAAATGTCAGTGTTTGATCATCGGTGTCTCCGCAGCATTCGTCAGATCTGCTGGAAACATCGGATTAGTAATGCTGAGGTACGCCAGATGGTCTTAGGAAGAAGGAACTCTCCCGCGATAGATAAAATACTCACGCCTCATAGGTTGCGCTGTTTAGGACATGTACTCCGCATGCCAGAAGACCATCTGCCTCAGAGCTCTTTTCGCTCAGCCCTGTGCTGAGTGGAAGCGACAGTGCATGACCTGGCAACGAAGTACGAAAACGCTAAGCGGTAAACTTAGTCGGGTGGGCAACTGCCGCCTCCCTGGATGGGGACCCCGAGACTCAAATCACCAGTGGTTAATGACATTGGCGGAAATGGCCCAGTCGCGCAGTCAGTGGCGCTCGTGCACCAAAGCTATCCCCTTCAATGAGTAGCTACCCGATTTCTGAACAAACTGAACATGCCTTCGCCTCCATGTCTTGGTTGTATGTTTCACTTTTTCGTTTTTCGATGATCGGAACTGTAGTAAATGGAACCAATGTGCCCATGGCACGCGGTTTATAGCTGATAGATTGAATTGATCGTACTATTCAGCACGTCCAAGAAAGATACACCAAACTTGTGTTCTCCACAGATGCCGACTACGTTTTACCTGGAAGTACTGATGCAAATGAAAAAAATAAGCAACCTGAGTTGATTACCTTTCGTCGATATTCATTTATTCTTCTCATCCTGGTGAAAGCTGCTATCTCGAAGTCCATAGGATCTGAAAACTCATCCCAAAAGATGCTATTAGGCAGTAAGGTGTTGGTTACTTGTATCAGGACGCCGCGATGCATCCCTGCAATCCTGTCTAGTGCCGACCTACAGTACCAGCCATCTGAATCGGAATGGGTCCATCAGGACAATAAAACCAGGGACCGAAATTTAGTTTCCACTCACTAAGGGCGAGATGGCTCAGTAGTTAGAGCATGAATTTACTGACTGGAAGGTCCATGGTTTGGACCCCACTTCTGCCCCTCGACCTTCCCTGTCTGGGCTTGGGCAACCTGGCAGTATCCCAGCCCTCATGATTCCTCCTGGTGGCATGGCAGTTAGGCGCCGAAAGGATGCGACAGCTGAACGATTTTTTGCGCACCCTATTAGCCTTCTTGTGCGAAGACACAACTACAGCACCATTACAACAACAACCCAAGAAAGTTTCGTATGTGAAGTTTAGCATAGTTAGCTACGTCCACAGCACGACAAACGCTGCGGTGAAGCTTGATTGTAGGTAGTCACAGTGAGGGGTATATACCACGAATCCATACTAAGGCTTCCAGCTGAAATGTATGCATACAATACTCGACCAGTGATATTGAAGCGAAAAATAGGTTGAGAAAGCTCCAGGGGATGCCTCGTACGGTTATGAAGATATTATCGGTCAGAAATTGATTTTAGTGAGACGTGAAGATACATTTTCCGTAGTGCTTAACGAATGGATCCGAGAACAAGACTCCGTTGCCTGGATCTTAGCTGAATCTCTTCTTTATGGTAATTCTTGAAACGAATATAATGGGGTTCAGCTAGAACATCACGTTGACGGAAACTTAGGGAATGTGCCTCGCTGGTGAGTTTAAAGGTCAAAATCGGCCACGGGCCATCCAAGAGTATTTAACAAACTCCATCATCATCATCATCGTCATCATCCTCATCGGCTGTAAGAACCGTGTACTTGTCGTACAGTGAAAGTCCAGTTTCACCCTCCTTGGGGATCGTCAGCTAGACGCAGTCCGCAAGTTTCCGTCAACCGCACGTTCTAGTTGAACCTACTTGAACCTTGAATCTACTTGAAACTGTTCCACTTGAACTTGTACGCTTATTTGCAAGCCAATTCGGTTTTACGGGAGATACCACTGAATCACAGCTGAATCACTCGTCCATGATATTCTTCAGTTGAACGGGATGAACAAGACTGCTATGATATTAGAGATATCGCAATGAATTTTATTGAAAGAACCTACGTTTATGAGCGTTATTCTATATGCAGCACCAAAGATCTGTTTGAGATCAGGGAAAAACCGCAACTGTTGGCGTTGCCAAAGTATCGGATCTCGTGTAAAATAACGTGTGCACAAATGCCGCTCACTGATCAATTTACGTAGAACTCACACGTTAAAAGCTGTGATGAGGCCAGAGGGAAGAGGTTCGAGTAACAGACGGGAGACAGTTGATGTGGGTGGTGGCGTGTAACCCGTTATCTTCTCGGGACATGCTCACAGGGAGTCAGTAGAATAGGAATTAATAAGTGTGATACCAGAGTCGATAAAAAAAATGAAGAAATGTGGAGGAGATAAACAGTCAAAAGTCTTCGCCTGTATGCACTGCTGTTTGTTGCGAACAGGACAACCCGGCTGATGTCAGTGTAGCGGCCGATATATTGCAAAGGTAGTTCTGTATGTGGGCACTCAAACCGAGACAAGTAGATTAGGGTTAAATAACCTTCCAAAAGGTAGAAGGCAAACCGAAACTACACTGAATGTTAAGCTTCTTACGGTTACTGAGTACTAAATGCCACCTGAAAGAGTGATTAAAACTCCTAAACAGCCCTAATTCGGTTTCATCCCTGAGGCTTCTCAGGACAAAACCCGTAGTGGATTGTCAGCGAGTGTTCACCAACTTCATAAGTGTACCAAATCAGAGAATACCCCGACGTCTTGAACATTTGTCGAAGTAAACCCAGAATCAACCTTCGTCCTGCGCATTCACTTAAGGGGCATCCTAAAAATCAGAATTGTGCGTTACACATGAGTAGAAACACATCTGCGAATGGATGGACAACTTTCTTCCTTATGCTTCGATTTCACAACACTCTTTTTTCGTTCGGAAACATCCGATTCCGAGTTGACTTTGTTCATGGGACAAACTAACACAAACAGACCACTAGCGATTTCAGAGAAAAATTCGACATCCCCTAAAATAACAACGGTAAAAACACTTTTTAGATGGTATAGGCAAATTGACTACCCATCGGGTTTAACGGCTCATAGTTTGAAATTCCGTAGTAAAGGTTCCCAAATGATCCTGTTCACTCATCGACCACTTCGGGCATAACAGACATGGAATAATCTCGAAGAGAATGTTTGATCGATAGAATTGACAGTAGCTCGTAGGTAATCGAAAAAGTAGGCGAACATGTTTCTAGAATTGTCTGTTACATCGAACGATGACAAGTTAGCCCTTCGCCACCCCCACACTGCCGGATAGGCAAAGCCGTATCTCTTTTGCGCTGAGTCGCGTGTGCAACCAGCTGAACGCGTAATCAGGCGGAAACCCAAAAGGTAAACAAGAGAGAACCAACAGCATATCCGTTAATTTCAAATCACGCGAAGACGATAAAATATTTGAAACCCACGATATACTTAGCGAATGGTACCTCGATAGCCGACCACACTCATAGCGCGCACCCAACGCACAAACACGCGGCTAGCCAGTGTTAGCCAATAATCAATTAGACCGCAAACCAGCAGTCACAAAAAATTCACCACACCTAGTACATGGAAATGTCAGCGCTATTTGGAGACCTAAACAAGAATAACCTAAGAATTGAATAACCATCATCATTATCAGCTGTAAATACCGTGTGCCTGTCGTGCAGCGGTTGTAGTTGCTACAGTTTCGTTCGCTGATGATTTGTTGAGGTGGGGTAGGTAGCTGCGCATTAGAGCCGGGGACTGGCAAATTGGTGTGATAACATAGGTCTGCCAGTGTACTTTTGTTTGGGAGGATCGGGAAGGAGCTATGCATTGAAGGTAGTAGCTTCTACTCACGAACGTCATGGAGGATGCGACTGGGCCATGTGTGACAATGTCTCCAACCATTGATGTGGCCCGTCTCGTGGGCCCCATCCAGAAAGACGGCAATGACCAGTGCAACCGAGTT